CAACATGTCATGCTAACCCCGAAATCCCTCATACTCCGTCAGCAACCCCCGCTCCGCCCCGCTGCGCTCCAGACCGGCTGCTCAAAGCAAAGCCTACACTGTGGCTTCCGTCCACTCTCCTCTGAGTCCCTTGGAGATGGTAGAGAGCATGCGCGGGATGATTAAATTCAAAGCAGCAAAACATACGGAAATGATCCATGGAAATAATTACAATCCATTATTTTTGGGGGGATTTTTTCATTAATTTCATACATTTTTATGGGATTTCGGTGTAACAATCAACATATACTCAATCGAACTGAACCGAAAACCGTGACCAGAAACCGTGAATCGAACCGGGGATTTTGTGAACCGTTCCACACCTAATATTTAGATAGATAGATAGATAGATAGATAGATAGATAGACAGACATATACAGTATATCTATGGATTTCCACAGTGTGGAAATCCATGCAAGTTCCTGTGGCATGAGGTAGTTGTCTAGAGATTACATTTTTTTCTGTATTTTTCAAAATTCACAAAAAATTCACCAAGACAAATCGCATGCCAAGACAGAAAACCTCAACGTACACAGCAGAACTTAAAAGCCTCTGATTACCAGATCTGTAAATGTCTTACTTTTTTCCAGCATTCCTAAAGACCAAGATAATGATGTAACACCACTTCATCCAAATACAGCAGCTAGTACATCAGCAAGTACATCTGGTGAAGGTAGGGTGCATCTTCCTTTGTTTCCCTTTTCCCTCCTACAATGTCCCATTTTGTATACTGTGTTCCACTTCGTTTGTTGATTCATCAGTTACCAACATTTGCATTTGTGCTCTCTATTTTGAATTGTTATAATGCTAATTTATATACTACATAGATGTTTTGCCATCAGAATGGATGACTGTTGCAGATCCCAAAAGAGCTGTGCGGCTCTTTACCCAATAGCTGCTGAACTATATGCAAAGTTTTGAAAAAAATCATTTTACAGTGGACTTGAGGAAAGATCAGGAAGAACAGGACATGTCCTATGTCCGCTTCTACAAGCGCAACAATGTGGAGTGGGGGTCACCATTGACATGCAGACTTGAAGGTGTGTGTTTTTTATCTTGTTTAAATTATGTTATTGTCATTTAATACTTTAGCATGCAGTTTCAATCTTTTCCATAGGTGATGCTGCTGTAGGACTAGGCGTTACCCGACATGTCACCTTAATATTGGTCGGTGTTACTCTTTACATAATTTTTTCATTAGACTTTTTGTACTACTTCAACAAAAACAGCAATGTTGTGTCCTTAATTTATGCTGCATTTAAACTGTTTTTAAACTAGGAAATGGCGCAATCACCAAAGTGTTTGAGGGCCAAACAGACCATTTGGTACCTGCCAACTCTGCTGTGATGGTGGAGAGCGAGCTTTTTTTGATGGCAGGTCGAATGATAGGGCATTGCTTTTTGTATGGCGGTCCTGGTTTCCCCGGTCTCAGCCCATCCATCACACATGTTCTGCTTGGAGGTTCCCTAGACACTGCCACAGTCATGATTGAAGACTGTCCTGATTTGGATATTCGGGAAACAATTACAGTGGTAGGTTTGGAAACTTTCATTTTAACTACACATTGCTGAGAAGTTATTATCCAAGAGTCTTGTGTCTAGTTCAATTCCAGTTCTTTTTTTTAGCTGGGGAGCGTCAAAACCTTGTTTTTTTGTCTCCACATATGTCCTTTGTTCTGTGTTAAGTTGGCAGAAAATTGTGAACTGACAGATGAGGAACGGGGCCAAGTAGTCAGCCTTTGCATGCCATGGGATCATCCTTTCCCAACTCCAAGCAACATGAAGTGACTTCATGACAAGCTGCTCCTGCATGCAGTAAGAAAAATATTTGTATTATGAGTGATTTAAAATTGTCTTCTTAATTTTAATGTCCTAAAACTTGGCATATACGAAGACATAACATTTTTTACTTTCCTCCACGACCTGCTTCATTCAACATAAATTACACTTGTCTTTAAAACTGGACACTTTAAGCTTCCACCTGGTGGTTGCATTGTCACAATGTACTACTCTGTCAAGCCACAAGAGAGCACATATATCAGTGAAGAGCTTTAATTGCAGTTTTCAAAATAAAAGAGAAAAATCTAAGAAATAACAGTGAGCTTTGTACTAAAATGTGCATAATTGCACAGAATAATGTCTATAATTCCATGTTATATACATATTTCAAAAATATATATTGCTATTTCCAAGGCAACAGTTAAATATTTAGTACCTGTATTAGGATATAGCTATAAACTTTATAAGATATTACCACACATGCAGAGTAAAAGTAAGTACACTTAGTGGAATATTTACAACAAATTGTCTAGTTTTGTGCATCAAATTTCAGTCTATAAATGGTATTTGATGTCAGTTATTCCACAGAAGCTATACTGGATCACCAAGAACCTCAAAAAACTGCCAAGCTGCAAATTCGTGAAACCACTTGGTAGATGCACATCAGGCATCATGTCAACAAAACAATTTTGCCATAATCTGTTTATGCTTAAGACCAAGACATCTGCTAGCAGTGATCTGACACATTCAAAAAATATGTGAGTATGATGTGACCGTGTTGTATATTAGTACACGCTAGTACTACTGGTGGTTTGTGTAGACAAGGGGATGAGTTCCTACTCATGAATGTTCAAACTAAGTGGACAATTTCAATTACTATGTCATATGTTTTTGTTTATTTCTTCATATAAAACTGTTTTTAACAGGTTCTGGGACGATCAGCAAGACAAGTAAAGCAGTTGAGAAAGGGACTGAAGGAAACTGGCATTTGGCCGCTTCTCTCAAATAGGGCCGATGTGGTGAAGTTGCTTTTTCCTTGTGAGAGAGAAGCTGAGATCACACCCCATGTATGTGAGATTTGTTTTGGTAAAAACCTTTAAGATGTACTTAAGTCATGCCGTTTCTGAATACTTTGCCTGAACTTTTATTCCCAAGTATGAATTCAAAGACTTCAGACTAGTTTCTGTTTTTGCAGATGATTCTTGGCCACATAAAATGGCCCACAACAAATCCAGATTCTGATGACGATGAAGATGGCGTCTCTGCTGAGGCTGTCACTCGAGTCACTGCTTTCTTCAGGACCTTTGTAGAACATGGTATGTTTTCTGAACTTTGGATTATTACCGATGCCTACAAACCTTTATCCTTTAACTGTTTGTTTGTTACAGATTACTAACATGTTGGTCCAAACTAAAGTCACATTGTCAAAACTTTTTACATAGTTGGTGAAGGAGACGTCTGTATCAGGCAAAATCTTTTGTGGTCAAATCATTTGATTACACTTTCCAAATTTCACAAAGTATTTTCACATTTTTAACTTATTATTACTACTTTAATAGCAATAATAAGTTAGAAATAATTTTTAAATAAATTTGTCATGTGATTCAATACGAAAATATTGAATGACGTGTTTTAATCAGTGTTGCTAAGGCAACACCTCTTGCATTGCTGCTGCATATGCATCGTCCTGCACATTTTAAATGATGACTGAAAACTATCCCAGCAAGTTAGAAAATTTGGAAATCAGCATCTGGTATTAAGCCACACCATCTGATCTTCTACTCTGGTGTCTCTGTCGCTGTGTGCAGTAGTTCCAACTGGCTGACTGTTGTGGTGTTCCCTACCAGTTATACCTGTTATATATAAAAAATAAACCTGATCTTTGCTTACAATACTGTCATATCATTAATGGAGGCCATAACACAATAATGATAACACATTTATGAATGGAGAAATCAATTTTCACCAGAAAACAACATAACATTTTACACAATGTTACTTTAAGTGACTATATTGTACAATATATATATATATATATATATATATATATTAGGGCTGGGCGATAATTCAATAATGATATATATCGATCGATAGACGT